CAGTCCTCCTCATCAGTCTCTCCCTCTCCGCCATCATCAATATTTTGAAGCATTTCTAAATCCCTGTTTGCGGTTAGATTTCTACTGAAAGCCATTTTCCGTTATTAGCCAACGGCAGCAACGGTACCGAATGTCAATCAACTGTGGGAAGAATTTAAAAAGCAACTAATAGAGCCGTCAAAACGATGGCTGTGGGAGATCAAGGTAGAATTAACATAAATAATTTCTTAAATTTTTATTTTATAAAAAAAAAAAAACAATGTGAAATGAAGGAAATATAGAAATCGGAAAAGTCAGTTAACATGAGCAACATATGATTAATGTAACTAAAGTTCTTTCCCTTTAAAATCTCAGAACCGTCAAAATGACGGCCTTGGGAGTTCTAGTGTTAATCTGTGGATTAATGATCAAAATAATCCCAATTAAGAGGGTTCTGCTCTCTACCTTTCTGGTAGTACTTTGAGTTGTGCGTCCAGCGGAAGCCTGTGCACAGGCCGAAGTCCGTCAGCTTGATGTGACCGTCCAAGTCGATGAGGATGTTGTCTGGTTTGATGTCGCGGTGGATGAAACCCATCTTGTGGACGCTCTCAATGGCCAACGTGAGCTCGGCCACGTAGAAGCGCGCCAGGGTTTCTGGGAAGACGCCCATCCGGATCAGAAGGCTCATCATGTCTCCCCCGGGGATATAATCCATGACGAAGTAGAGGCTGTCGCGGTCCTGGAAGGAGTAGTAGAGACGCACCACCCACTCGTTGTCCGCCTCAGCTAGGATGTCCCGCTCCGCCTTCACATGGGCCACCTGAAAACCAGACAGCCGCTGACAGTTAGCAAAATCCTTCACCTGAAGGACGGAGGAGGAAAACGGCAAATGCTTTAAATCACCTGGTTACGGTTGAGGACATCTTTCTTGCGCAGCGTTTTCATGGCGTAAAGTGCACCGGTGTCGACTTTTCGTGTAAGGCACACTTCACCGAAGGCGCCGATGCCCAGGGTCTTGATCTTTATAAACATTGACTTGTCCATTTTGGCCCGACGTAGCCTGTTGTAGTTGGACTCCTTTTGGTTCAGCATCTTCCTCATCTGCTCCTGCTCTGCCTCCGACAGCCCAGCCTAGCCACAAACGGAACCATTAGAGATTAAAACAGTTTTCCAAACCTTCATTTCTTTGGATGTTTTAGATTTTACATTTAGTAAAAATAAAAAGAGAGAGAAAGCGTTGCTTCACCTTGGACATCTCCTGCTCCAGCTGCAGCCTCCGGTTCAGTTTCTGCTGGTAGGTCTTCATCACATTCTCGATATGCTGCTCCATGTAGAACTTGAAGGCGAAGGGAGAGTAGGTTTTGATGCGGGACTCTCTCTTCTCCTCATCTCGCCCGTTCTTCCTGAGGGGAACGGGCGACGTCTGGATCTGCTTCTTGTCTTTTACTGCTTTTTCTCCCTTCCCCATCTTGGGCTTCTCTTTAACCTGCTGGCTGTCCTCATTCTTCCCGCTGCTCCCGCTACCGCCACTGCCGGCCCGTGCGCCTCTGGCAGCGGGATTGTTGAGGTCTGGACCGCTGGCTCCGGCTCCTTCCAGAACCCCTGGATCCCCCGCTGCTCCGGGCATGAGCAGATTCTTTGGGTAAGGTGGGGGAGGGCAGCGGGGCTCCTGGGCAGGCTCCAATGGGTAGGTCTCCTCCGGCATGTAGGGCAGGGGTTCTGCTGCATCCTGAGCCTGAGCTGTCATCCAGCCAGGATGGCACGGGCCCACCGCCGTTTTGGGCTCAGGCCTCATCACTCGGATACTTTTGACTGGCTGTTGGATGGGGGGGGATGTTACAGCTGTGATGGTGTTAGGGGGGCCCAACGAGGACTCCTGCTTCCCGGCTGCAGGAGGCACAGCCATCGGCGGTCTAACACCATTTGGAGCAGAACGACTGTTGAAGGAATTTGTTCTGCTGGGGACACGTACCTCCCCCCTAAACGGGCCCTGGGGCTGACGGGCCGCTGGATTCCCTTCAGCACCCGGCGGGCCGGCCCAGTGGTGCTCGTACAGGTCCAGGTTGAGGCTGGCTCTGGAGGGTGTCATCAGGTCTGGGTATTCGGGGGCCATGGGTGGCACTCCGCCCGGGGAACGAGACATCATGTGGACCTGGTGGGACGTGGGGCTCGCCTGGCGGGGATGAGAGTGAGACGTAAGGTACAGATTGGCCGGGTATCCTCCGCCTCCTGACCCGTTCTGGGCCATGGCCCCCTTTCCCTGCATGTTGACGTAATTGTCAGGGGGCCCCATAGGGGGTGGTTGCATCTTGTTCTGGAAAGAGGGGGTCCTCTTGACCCCATAGCCTGCGGGTTCCATCATGTGCTGCCTAGCGTGACCGTAGTCGTAGTGCGGACCTGGGACAGGTCCCCCTGGTGGCTGCGGCTGGAGCTGCAGCGGCTGCCCAGGGACGTTGTAGCTCATCATGGGCCCATGCTGCTCCATGCTGCTGGGGTAGGCCTTCTGTGGGGCGCCCGGTGGGTACATGGCGCTGCCTGGGTTGCTTTGGGTAGGCATCACTGGCGGATAGCTGCCGATACTGGGAGGTCGCCCCATGGGGTTGGCCATGGCAGCGCCCTGAGCTGCACTCGATGGGGGAATCATGTAGTTCATAACAGGAGAAGCCCCCATATAGGCTCTGGTCATGTCACTCTCTGGGCCATAACCTGCCGCCCCGTCATACATCGGAGCCCCCATCTGGTGGTATGGAGGCATGGCGCCTCCCTCACCCGAAACCTCTAATGTGGGACGGTGGTCCATGGTGTTCGGCACGCCAGCTTTTCCTGTAGCAGCAGACAAATTGCACAAATCAATCCCGTTTTTTTTCTTTTTTTCAATTAACTGATACAGTGAAAACAAACGACTGGTCAGAGTTGCCGTTTCCGTACCGGGTGACGTCTGCTTAATGACCCGGACGATGAGCTCGGTGCGCGGGTCCAGGTAACCCATTTTACTGATGTACTCCAAGGCTGCTTCAATATTTCTGCTTCCAGTTTGCTTCAGCGCCCGCACTGCCATTTCCTGTGAAATGTTCACACAAAAATCAGTCTTGGAGCAACAAGTCAAACATTTTAACAAAAAACACACACAAAAAAAAAACAACAAAGTGACACACTGAAACTCAAATATTTCCAGGTTTTCTGGACATAAAGATACAATACTTCAGATAGTTCAAGTTTTGCTTCAAATTTCTTACTGTTAGAAGTGAGTCATTTTTTCCCCCCAAGGTCGCCGCTTTCTTTGTTGATGACTTGATGCATTTAATTCTGCAACATTTTAACATGTGGCACTAAACCGAGTTTGGCTGCCCTACAACTTATGTTTTTGTTGAAGCTTCAACTTCTGGATGAGCGTAAAAGCTGAAAACCTGCAGATCAGACATTTAAAATATCCCTGAGACGCCAGAAAAAACATTTGTGGAAGCAAACTGATTTCTATGCAATGTCATACACCGTCATTCTTTTCCTTATCAAGTTCATCAGTTTCATGATGACAAACACAAACATCATGCTTTTTAATGCTCTTTTAAAGCTCTTAGAAATAATTTTAATGCCACCAAAAAGCACCCGTCGACAGGCTGCAGCCATGTCCCGAATTCCTCCTTTTCCAGCCACTTTTGTTGAAATTAGCATTTTCCCCATTCTCTAGCTTTTTCTTGAACTCAAGCTTCTTTTGCAAACATACAGCTTTCTATGTACTACCTGGAGAAGATCTGTGCAAATATATAGTGATATCATATGTCTGAGAAAATTGTTTTTATAAACATTTGTTGTTGTTTTTTGAACGAAAGCATTTTTAATGCCACAATAACCATATTTAATGAATTTTAATGCCAATTAAGGCCTTCATTTGAAAAATAATAATATAATAACTTTTAATGACCAGTGGAAACCCTGAAATATTAGTCAGCAGCACTACAACTTAAAAAAAAAAAAAAGAAATCTTGGATCCTTCAGTAGCTGCTTTGAAAGGCAGAAAATAAGTTGGTGTTATTTATAAGCCTCAACAAAAAGTTTCTGATTGTATTAAACTTGTGGAAGTTGATCTTCCAAAGTTCTTTTTTCTGTGTACTAAAGTATTTTTCTTTTCAATATTAAATAAAAAACATTAACATTTTTCCTAGTAAACAGCAGCTCTATTCAGCTTGAAATCAAAACAAAAAATATACATCTTAAAGCCCCCTCCCTTTGTTTCTTCACCTTTTAAACCCTTTTTGAGTGTTTTGAGTTTCAATGACTGGAATTTCTACATAAAAAGAATCTTTAAATGTTTGAAATGATGAGGATTATCTACATAGTGATGCTTTCATGTCTCTTTAACAACAGTAAACAAACAGAGAGGCAGAGTGTGAGACGGCAGGAAATGTTTGACCACACCCAGGTGAGGAAATCCCCTCAAATGGCATATGATCTCACAGCAGGCACATTTCAACGAAGACTCCTGCCCGGCTGCTGTGAAACAACCAAAAAAAAAACCAACAAAAAACTGGCTCTGGTTCCCCTGCTGGCCGCGGTCAGAACAGCAGCTCCTCAAACAAGATTGATAAATAAACATATGCCTTAAAATACATTTTCTATAGTAGAATTGCAAGGAGAATGTCGAGGAAAATAACTGGCACAATGAAGAAATGAGACTATCCCCGCCCCAGACTTTCTACTATTCCTGAGCCCGACTGCCAGCCTGAGATGGTCAGCAGGAAACTAAAGCAAATATAAACCATTTTAAAGCAGCAAATGTACGGATAGTCAGCTCAGGAAGCCAGGAAATGCCAAGGCCGAGCTTTCTCTAGGCTTCCTATAAAGTGTTAGCAGGACAGGGTCCATCATTATGCTGCATGACCCCTCCCCACACCTTTAAATCTCAAAGCCCAGCTCTGGCCGTGTACCCACACAGCAGTGTTTATACTCGGCTTCCTGTGTGTTCATGCATGTGTGTGTGTGAGCTGCATTCCTGCGTGGACCGAGGAGAGCGCTGGCTGCCAGAGCCGCCCTACAGTCACATTTTGTCCTTTCCCTCCGTGTTTTTAGCCACGTTCCTCTTCTCTCTGTGGCGATCTGTTTCAAAGGTTAAAGAGACCAAACAAGAGTCTCTGGACTTTTTTTATATTTTCTGAAAAGGCAGTGATTGCAGGAAATGCTTACTTCGATATGGGCTTTAATCTACAATAAGAAACTGAGAAGGGATCTGAGAAACACCGCGTAGATGGGGGGGATGTCGTACTAATAAAACATGACCAATTATCCAGGTCAGAGTCATTCAAAAAAAGTAAAAAAAGAACAATCCCCCGGACTTTGCTTCCAAGTCTGAAGAGGTTTCTCTTCCCATCCAGGAAGCTTTTTCAATTCAAAATGTCAGAAATAGCATTGAGTCTTGTTTTGGAGGGTTTTTTTAAGCCCAAAATAGGCTTTGGTTTTAGTCCACTCTATAAAGCCACAAACTCAACACTATTTCTGATATTTTTAATTGGAAAAAGCTTCCTGGAGGGGAAGCGAAACATCTTCAAACTAGAAAACAAAGTCCAGACGATCGTTTTTTTAACTTTTTTTGGCATGATCAATATACTTTTTCATTCTGCAAAAGCAGGATACAACAACTACAATCAACAGTATGAAAATCTAAATTTAACATTAACTATTTTAGGGCATATTGCTGCAGCTGTCAGGACATTAATAACTGTGTTAAACCAAGTTATATAAGGATGAGGATAAGGACCTCACCTAACTAAACTCTTTAAGAAAAGAATGTTAACCTAACGATACTAGCCGTAACTAGGAAGATAACAGTACTGTCTCAAGCGGCAGGATTTCCTGAAAAACAGTTACTCAGGTTGGTTCCTCCCTCGAAATGGGTTCACAGAAACATCCACACTGCAAAAACCATCGATAAATGAGTAAAAATCTCTTCAGATAAGTGTATTTACCCTAATTTGAGTAGGTTATTAAGATGATCTGGCAATGGAAGGAGTATTTTTACTGTTAAAATTACATATCATGCACTTTAAATAAAACTGTTTTTTTTCTTTATTTTTTTAAAGAAAGATTGACTTACATTTCAATATTTTGCAGTGCACACGTGAGGAGGAGAGAATCTACAGGGCCATGAAAAGTTGGAGAGCAGAGATACAGCATAAGCTCATGGTTGTGACATATTGGGGCCTTCTGGCTTTAAATCAGCACCCACAGAAACTTCAAAATTCATACAGAGAGGAGTTTGTGTATTTTTAATAAGAAATGCTGGTATGAGCATTTATTATACATGTGAACTTTTGGCTGAATCCTGACTTCATCAAAGGGGTCATTTCATTTCTTCAGTCTGGTCTTTAGTCGGGGTGAAGAAAAAAATCGATTTGAGCTCAAATCGCGTTTCTAACATTTAAAGATTCAGAATTGATTCTCATTTTCTTTAAAAACAATTTTTTTGTGTGGATGTGCCTTATCAGGCACCGTGGTGTTTGGCGAAACCAATGAGCAGCGTGAGCTATGCACAGGCATGCAAGCGTTAGACTAGCAGGCTACAGAGTGGTGTGTAGTGTTGTGTGAGCTACTGTGTTTGTTGCCGCTAAAGTAAAAAGAAATTCAACCGCCTCAACATTCTTTAAAAGCAACCATTTGGAAACACTTTGGATTATACCTTCAACCCAGCCCGGGTAAGAAAGGGCTTGACATGACTCATGTGATTTGCAGAGACTGCAACGGTAAAGCTTCGGGATTTCGGGAGTACGTACTTCAAACCCCAGTTCTCATCTCGAAAGACACAGTTGTTGGTAGAATTGGATAAATCCAAGACATGTCTTTCAGTGAGTTGTTCCCAATGCCACTAAAACCCGATTGTTCCTGGGTTTAAATGAAGGGGGTGTTGTAGAAATGGAGTAGTGACTGAGTTTTAGGGGCTTTTAGTTATTGATAGCAATGTCAGATTCTGTTACACAATAGAATAAACAGTTAAACCTAAAAGGGTTTAAAAGGTTGGAGCGAGGTTAGAGACTGAGGGGGAGCAAAAACTTGTAAACAAAAGTGGAAGTTTGGGAACCAATGCATCAGCGCACTTGAGCGCATTAATCCATTCGCTATCCATTGTTAATGTTTAGTTTAATTTGCTACTATTTTTGTTTGTTTAAATTGATATTTGACTGACTTTCTTTAACATTTTCTAGAATGGATGATACCTTGTGGCCCAAATACTTCTGGGTTATAAACTAATCAACATGGCCGTGTTCTCTCAGGGTTTGGACGCGGCAGAAGTTAAATAAAAGTTTCACAATCTTTAGACGCTTTATCTCCATAATCTGTGTTTAATCAGGTCCAGCCCCCTCCCCAGCCGGCTCCACCTCCCAGCTCATTGTGGAGATCGTCATGGCGACAGATGTGTCTGCTTGAATTCCTTGGAGCAGGAAGCAAGAGTTCAGGCCGTCTCCATCTGGATCTCTTCTTTCTCTCTCACATTTGAAAATACCCGGGCCACATTTACACCTTCGTGACGGCGGTCTGAGAGCAACGAAACGCCAAGTTCTCCCAAACGCCAAACACCAGGCTGCAACCTCTACACAATCCCTGGACTGCAGTCTTTGAAAAACATGTTCCCAGCGTTCTGGATATTGGCCTTCGTACTGACCCAGTTCAGACACACATTCCAGCTCTGGACCCAGGAAATCAAAGCCACTTGCAGGCCAATCAGGAGTCCAGATGGGATGCACTAGGAGGTACGGTCTCTCTGCCTCTCTTCCTTGTTATTGTGGCCAGCAGCCCAAACATGTGCAGAGAGATGTTTAAAGTATTACATGTTATTATAGGGAGAGCCACCCACCCCAGCCATGTCCTGTTGGCCTCATTGTTGCATAAAAGCTCCACAATCTCTGTTAAATCATTCGCTGAATGCCTTTAAATGCTGAGTGGGAACCAAATTCCTACCGGGGCGACAGTTCATCCTGCAAAGGCAGCTAGAGGTCCATAAGGTTACAGCTCTGAATGTTGACAGGAGGTGTTAAAAAAAAGTGATCAAAAGCACCCCCCTCCCCTCACTTCCTGTATTTCCTTGTCATCTTGCCGTTTGGGATCCCAACCCTACCCTCTACACCCCCCAAAAAACATTTCCTCCATAAAAAAAAAAAAAAAGAGGATTATGCAACATGTCACACTGGTATATAATCTGCAGCTGGATCTGTAGGAAAGCTGATAGCAGCTGATTGGAACTCGGCTGAAAAATGAGGAACCATCTTAAGAGGATGTGTCAAAAACATTTGCGACTCTGTTATAAACCATCAAATCACGCTGGAGATCCGGTACCAATGAAAAGCGGTCAACAATTTACCTCAGAGAAACACAAATCTGTCTGTTTGGAAATATTTATAGTCTGATTAAAAACAAACTAAACCAGTAAACTAAAAGACTAAAACTGAACACTAAGGGGAAAAAGTTAAATGTAAGCTGAAAACATTAATCAGAGTAATCAATTACAGAAATAATCAACTAATACTCAACAAAATATACACTAAAAATGTTTTAAACATTAAATACAAACAACTTTTCCAAAGGATCAACTTTTTTTCATAATAAAATATAAATATTTACATGTATATGTTTGTATATTTGACATTTTGCCAGCTGCAACTCATTCAAATGTGTAATAAAAGTGTTTTTTTCTACATCTCATATGTTTAAAATGAAAGATTTAATCTAAAACAATAGAGACTTAGTTTGCTCTAAAATAATCACTGACTTTGTTGCTTATCCATCATTTTCAGTCGTGTGTAAAAAAGTTTACAGGTTGCAATTCCTCTGCTGCTGACTGACCCCCCCCATTGCAGGCACCATATGAATGGAGCAGATCAAGGCCGGCTCAGTCGGTCCAAACAGGAAGGGGATATTCAATGGCAGCAGGGAGGAACAGTTCCTCCTGCTCCAGTCCAGTCACCACCCAACATGTCGCCTCTCCTCCTCTTCCTCTGTCTCTAGACCGTCTCTCAGACTCCACCGATGGGTGTTTGACTCTGTTTTTTCCTGTAGACCTGTGTCTCTCAGATTGTTTTTTTGTCAGTTGCTCAAAAAAAGGAATAAATAGGTTTGATTGAAATCCTTTGTACTGAAAGGATTTTGAAAATGGCATTAATGCAGTCAGGGTATCACAGGCCCTAACACTGGCCTATCCATAGCAAAATATGTATTAAATTATTCTACTCCTGGGTACTGTTGTTTTTTTTGCAAAATGTGCAGTAGGCTGTTGCAAAATGTCTGTTTCTTTTAGAGCAATAAACTGGGGTTGTAACTATTAATTATTTTCAAATGATGTATAGACTTTTTTAAATTGATTTCCTTAAATATTTGTTTTTTTTTTTTTGTGGAGATTTTTGTTCCTCTTTTCTGCACCCACAAACCAGCACCCAAAAAAAGGAAACCAGGCTAAACCTAACCAGGCATCTGCTGGTTCCACGTGTTGAAACATTTTGGAAACGTATCGTTTCTGAACTGCTAAGCTGTTCATTTATTCCCTTGGCTTGCTTTTTTACCGAGATACCTTTTTCAATCATGCTTCATGAAATAAAATAACCCAGCACTGCTGGTCAGCTGGCAGAATTTACATGTTTTATAAAAGGAAATTTAAAAAATCTTAATCTTCTCATTTTTCTTTTTTTTATTGATTTTAGATATATTTTTTTATTTTTATCTTTTTTTTATTTTAGATTTTAATTTTTGGCTTTTTTTCCAGACTTTTCTAGGTTTACAAATTGAATTCTCTGCTAACTGTGTTTCAGTGATTGCATTTTCTTCACTTAAGCCAATGCCAACGCTCGCTCTTTAGGCGCATTTTGACCAATAAAAATCTTTTTGCTGACATCCATGGAGACAAATAGAAATGAATCTACGCACATCCATCCAAAGGTAAGCCCACCCCTAAAACTGAAAACAATGTGATCTGCAAAAACAAATAAAATAAAAAAGGAGAAAAAAAAGCTATTTGGAACATTTTGTTTCTTTATCATTGACCCTGGACCTGCGACCCCCCTCCCTCTCTCCCTTTGGCCAGTGAACCAGTGGGCCGGTCTGTATGTCAATTTTTCGGAGCGTGACAAAAGTACAGGCCAGAACCAAATAAGTCAACATCCCTGAGTTTACGTCAACTCAGTGTTTCGCTTGAATTCGCCCGTTTTATGGTGGAAGTTTGGAATTGTGAGATTTGCAGAGAAAGGAGGTGGAAAGGAGAATTTGAACTTCTCTGTACGTCCATTTCACCCACTGAACTATCGTTATTCATCTGACAATGTAAACTCGGCTTTGCATTCTATGACCCCTTTAAAGCTTCCGTCCAATCGCAGATTATAATGAGTAAAATTAAAAACGTCATAAAAGCTCACAAGTAGATTTTTCTGAGTTTGGCAGAGAACAATTTAGGTTTGTAAAAAGAACAATGTGGAAGTTAAGTTTAAAAAAACTAAGTCTGATACTTTAGAGCTCAGAAGAAGAAAAACCTTCAAGATGTCCAGAGAAAAACTAGGCCACTATAGAAGCCAAAATAGGAGCGAAAGGAACGGTCAAAACGAAATCCTGCTCTAGGCTGTGATTCAGCAAAGATATGCATCAACTTCTGAGGATTTTTTGCAGCCTTCATAAGGGTCGATTTCAGACCATGAAGCCAGAAGAAGCTACACAACCAACCTTCAAGGATCCCCGTCATTGTACTACTGCCTCAAATCTACTGCTAATCAAGCACGACATCCAGGTGACAATTAATAGGAAACATGTAATTTTCAATGCACTGTGAGCTGGTGCAGAGCATCTTTACATCATTTAGTACAAAAGAAATTTTTTTTTATTTCCTATATGAAAGTACCGGATTTAAAAACAACAGATCCACAGATGTGGACATAAAGACTCAGAGCAAAGGTCCCACAATCAGAAAACAAACAGAACGTCTCTGTGTGTGATAATCTGCAGACATTTAGCCCGCTCCTCTTCTTCTGTGCTGCCTTTCTGTGACAGGCTTGAGTGGGGGCATTTTTCACATACCAACGCTCAATCACAAGGATTTTTAGCCACAGATGCCCCAGATCTCAACAGGACTAACAGCATTTTCCTGGGACAGTCTCAGCTCAGTTCCCCCTCAATCAAGTTTAAATTTCTACATTTCCAAAGGAGAAAATGCTACAAAAAAATAAACAAAAAACTAATAAATACAGTATACATAGAGTAATAGAAACTAGAATGTTGCCTAGCTTGTGCATGCCAAACATCCCCTTTAACAAAATCTCACCTGATATGTGACCATTTAAACACTGGTTACGTAACATGAGTGCTAATGGGGTGCGCTTTTATTGTACTTTGAAGAAACATCTGAGAGGATATGATCCAAGTCATCGAAACACAGCCTCTAGTTTGAGAAAAAGGTCCAATGATTTTTCTATGTTTAGACATAACCATGGAATCCACAAAGAAGCTCCAAAAATATTCACTGAAATATAAGAGATACAGAGTGTCTGAGGTATTTTGGCTGCTGCAGGCCCCCTTAGATGTTATCTAGTTAGCAAAAAGTTGCTTCAGTTCTGCTAACCACACAGAAAGTTCATAAGGCGTTATCATTTACTGGCTTGGATATTTTGGTCTTGAGTTTAGATCTGAATCATTTTAACAAGCTTTATTTTTAAGAAGTGAGAATTTTAAACAAATGGAGCTAATAAAAGCGCTTTCTTTTAATGAAAGATTAAAGAAAAAAGAATTGTGACATTCTTTGAAGACTTCTTTTTAAACCATTCTATAATTTAAAGATCATATCTGCAATGTTTCATTTTAAATTATCAACTTAAAAAAAAAAATACATCTAGACAAAGTTGTGTTCATTTGACTAAAGATATAAAGTGAGGGAGAGACATGCAGCAAAGAACCACAGGTTGGTATCAAACCCAGGTCGGTCAAGGACCTCTGTACATGGGTCGTGTGCGCTAACCTCTGCTACACAGATACCGAGCACGCCCATTAATAACCGTTTAATAAACTGTGATGTTTCCAAAACATAAACATTTATCTCAGGTTATGCTGCAAACGTCAATAAAGTCTACTGCAGAGGGAAAAGTAGGTCAAATCTCAGGCGTTGCCAGATTCTAGAGGTGAAAACTGGCATCTTCTCTACTCTATATTTCTCAGTTTCAAACCAAAAGTAGGAAGGAAGGGGGCTCGGGTGTGCTAATGCTGTTAACCGTTAGCATTAGCACACCTTGAATCAGCTGGCGAACGCTACAGAACGAGAGTAGTAGTGTGAGAATGCACCACTTACTGTCTGGGAGGATGTTTATTTGCAGTTATCACCTCCTATAGGGTCCTATAACTTCAGCCAAATGAACCTCAAGCCACAAAAAAACAACTTTCCCTGAATTCTGTTTTAATTTGTGTTTCCGTTTGATGCTCTGCTGATTTCTTCTTTTTCCTTTTTCTCACTTTGATGTGTTTTAAACACTTTTTCACCCAGTATGTTTAAAACCTAGAGAATCCCAGAGTCAGTCTGCCGCCAAACATTCAGCCTTCCTGTTATCCATTGAGTTTCTCATTCTCTTTGACAGCCAAAGCGGAGGGTTGGCCTTGTGGGTTAGAGCAGTGCGCAGGGAATGGGCCAAATGCAGAGAGTGAATTTCCCCGTAGTGGGACAATAAAGGGATTTACATTATTTTTACATAAATTAAAGAACTGCACGTGTTTTAATATCATGGGAGATATCACCTTGAGATAATCTACCCTTTTGATGATAAAGGTCGGCTTTCAGTCTCCTCTCTAAGAGCAAGCTGTCTAAAATTTGTTGTCATAGCAACCTAGCATTGTTCACATATGGGAGGAGACTGGATGGTTTTAATGGTTGAAGTCAACCGAGCTGAAGTCAGTCTGAATGGTAGCGGGTATATGCTATATACCTGATGAAAAGCTTCAACAAAGGGCAGTACTATAGGAATGTTGTTGTGTTAAATTGTTCAGCAGTTTTCCTGTGTGGTTACATAAACGCGTCAGGCTTACCTGGTCGCAGCCAGCGTTGACGAGCTCCTGCAGCATCTGCTTGTTCACCTCTCCAGCCTCCCCAGACTCGTTGGCGAAGGGCATGAGGGACCGGCGGATCTCCCGCAGGGCGTTCTGGTAGTTGTTAAACTTCTGCGGCGGCCGGAGCTGCTGCTGTCGGTTGGAGGTGTCCTTGCCGCTCTTGGAGTCGGCGGCCCGGCTCCCCTCGGACCTGGAGCTGCCGCCGTGCAGGGCCTGGCTCACCAGCTTGGCCGGCTGCTTCAGACCCTCCTTGATCTCTTGAAGCCTCTGCCGCGTGTTGCCCACATACGGGGCAGCCGGGAATGTCTTGGGCCTCATGGCCTCAGCGCCCGGAGGAGGCACCTACTCTAAAAAAGGGAGTGGGGGAGACTACCACACACTTCTGGCACTCACTCCACTGCAGCCTCTCCACCCAGTTGACCTAAATAGATAGAGAGCTCCAGGAGCTCAGATCAGATTTAGATGTCCTTCTGTCGTTTCTGTACAACTTTGTGTTTCTAATTCCTAGCGGGGCAGAGGGAGGTGATCCTGGATACTACAGGCCTTCCATGGTGTGAGCCTCAAGGCTCAGGTTGCAGCTTATTCCAGGAAATGCAGCCACTGGAATGAGCAATATGGAGCCAAACCATGATGCCAACCTGCGCCTGTGGAGGAGAAGATGCGGTGAGAACGTGCAGACTAGAACAAACTGCAAAATAGAGCCAAACAAAAGGATGCAGCAATTTCAACTGAGAGGGGAACGTATTGGGCCTCATGGCCTCTGACAAAAAACACAACAAAAACAGACTGAAGTGAAAGAACATCATGTAGTGCCGTGAAGATGAGGTCATGTGGGCCGAAAGCATCGCTGACAGCCAGAGAATGTCACATCTCCCACATGGGACTGGTTGGGGGGTGTCGTTACATGGAAACCAGCAAGTTCCTTTCTATATCAGCGGGGCTTAAGTGCATACCTTGTGCATAATTCAGGAATGTCCGCGGTCATAAAATCTCAACCTTAGCAGCAGTTGCACAACTGCAGCCGCAGTAACTGCATTCCTCTGCAGCGCGGTCATCGGTGAACACCCCTGTGAGAGTACGGAGCTCCAGCCGGGGGTCACAGCTATTCAGCGGCCTTCCCCACGATGGGCCCCTCTGGATGTAATCCTCTGCAGCGTTTACAGACATCTTACACCACCTGACAGTCTAATCTGGGGAAACATACTCCAAATTCTGCCATGACAGTGTTACTCCTTCAGAGCAGTTCAGTTGACATGAGGAAGGGCTGCACGTGTTTCTGTACGGGGCTGCGGGTGAGCAAAGCGGTTGAACACTTAGAGTTTGAGACTGTGTTAGACTATTACTGCATAAAATAAAAAAATATTCTATCAACATTCAGGTTTTAACAATTTATTATGTAAATAACAGGAGGGAAAAAACTCTCTAAACCAAATTTGCTTAATTGCATCAAATATCTTAAGGGATAAAAACTGCATCTGCTCGGGACAGCCAACGTTTAAATCTAGAAATATTACTCAAACTGTGTAAGACGTCGGTGGAAGAATTATGATAAAGTTCAGTTCTTCTCCCAGTGGAACTGTCGAGCACATTTGGATACAAATCCATAGGGGCCTGGATGTTAACAATGTTATAAATGCAACCCTTGTGTTAAGAAAGTGAAGTCTGGTTGTGAAACCCACCGGTTTAAAGACTAGAACGATTTCTCATCATGTCAGTAGTCAGATATTGCCCAGAAATGTGCCACAAGTTATTTTTTTAGATAAAAAAAAAGCATGTATTAATCCTGTAACTTCCTAAAGTACATTTAAACAAATCGAAGTTGGGGTGTTTTTATACAGTTGATTCTGTTTGTTGAATGTAGATCTTACTTTGTGAGAAAAAAAAAAAAAAAAAAAAACTGAAAAATTGTGCATTTAATTCTTGACTAAAAACAAAAAATACCGTAATCACTAATATATGGTCATAAAAGTATTACAAAAAACTAATACACTATCACAATATTTTATTTGACAATATTTGTATCGGCTTAAAATACAGCTGAATGGATGTTAAAATGTAAATAAATTAATAGGCAATCATCCATTATACTGTTATACTTTTATATAATGAGGTATGCTGAGTTGATTGAAGTTTGTCAATAGAAAATATATCATTCCATGCCAACATGATGACGACGTTTGAGCTGCTGATTCTGTGGATGTGAACCACGGCTTGTGACGTCCAGGACAAAAACTGAAAAACATTTTTGGTTTTCCCCACAGACTAATCTGAATGACTTTATCAAGTTCAGGTGGGATCAGAAGGAGTTTTACTTCCAGTTGTAAAATCAGCAAATGCATAATTGATCATCTCACCTGTCTGCTGAGGTCTGCTGAGTAAACTTTTTGCACAACCTCCAAAAAAAGTTAAAAACTTTTCCCAGAGACCGCGAAGCGCTGAGAGAGACTCTGCAGCAAACAAGTGCATCAGACTGGAGCTTATACAACATTAGGCCTCCGATAAAGGAAGAAGGAGCATTACTCTCAGCTGTTAGTCCACTATCAATGACGCAATAAACAACAGAGGCAGCCATCTTGACCGGTTTCAATCCAGAGCCGGTTTGAATCATTCAGTTGACTCATATGTAACTCATCGGGCAGAGGAACAAACCTACAGTGTAACACGGTGGTGGGTGTGTGATGCTCTACGGCTGACAGACAGCTGTAGGACAACCAGGAAATCTAGTCTCTTTACCAAAAACACCTGAAGAACAACATCCAGCAATCAATCCTTCACTTAAGGCTCACTTTGGTTCTACTGTAGCAGGACTTTTCACCTGCAGGTCCAACTCTCAAAATGAAAAACAATCAGCTGCCTTGTCAAAGTCCAGATTTGGATCCAATAGAGATGTTGTGACCTTAAAGAGCAAAGCTGAACATTAAAGCTTAAGTGTGTAATTTTCAGCGACATCTAACGTCCAGACTGCGACCGCAGCAACATGAACATCTCCCCCCCACCGCTTCTCCCCCCCAACAGTAC